ACAGATCGCCCACTCAAAAGCTACCTTGCTTTCGGTTCCAACCTGAACTGCAGCTGTTACTGATGGCAGCTGTGGATAATACACAATGTGGACTTGAACCTTTAATAGTTTTTAAGGTGACCCCCAATCCCAGGGAGGCCAGAGCCCTCCGAAGACTCTCCAGGGGGCAGCAGACCACCCAGAACAGCCCCCTTTCCTTTCCTGGCTCCGGGGCATTCGGAAGAGGCATCCCATGGCAAAGAAGGCCATTCAGGGCAGCCCCTTTTAGCCGCCTTTCAAAGTGTGAGGCCGCACCTTAAAAACTATTAAAGGTTCAAGTCCACATTGTGTATTATCCACAGCCGCCATCAGTAACAGCTGCAGTTCAGGTTGGAACCGAAAGCAAGGTAACTTTTGAGTGGGCAATTTGTCCAAATAAAGCTCCCTGCGGATGCGGATGGACTCCTAAGAGGCTGATTAAAGGAAGGGAGCCTGAACCTTCACAAGGCCTAAGAAAGCTCTCCTCTCTTCTGATGCCAAGCAGTGCACAATCCAGAGCCTGCAGGATGCCAGCCCAGAGAGACTCTCTCCCACAAAGACGAGGCGTGAAAAATGCATCATCATTTTAGGTTAGCCCTCTTCCCCTTGCTTGCTACGTCCAGATTTACAGTCGCCCTGTACCCAATTTTCCTGGCCCGCCATTCGGGGCTACGCGTGGCTCCCAGGCTCCCCAGCACTTCTGGAAGGCACCTGGGGAGAGGAGCCGGTAGAGGATCTGATGAACCAAACCCACTAGACGGGTTTTGCTCTGCTGGGTGGCTTTGACAAGGCTGCTTCTGCAGGTGATCCACCAAGACTCAAAAGGGCTCCAGAATTATCCATGAAAAACTTACAAGGCTGGAAAGTGTTTCACGCCTTTGTTCAGCCGAGGAAATATTTAAAATTCTCAGGCACAGAACAGGACATTTGTTGGCACCCAAGTGGGCGTCTGGGCAGTTTCATGGACAATCCGTTGTAGTTTAACTTGGTTCAGCCTCTCCTTTTATTCATGGAGCCCACTGAACAACCAAAGCTTCTCCGACAAAAATGAACCAATGTCCTTAGTTATGCTTTGGTAGTGCCGTTCTGTGCAGAAGGGGGCCTTGAGTGCAGAGAAGCTTTAAAGTTTTAAAACTGAGACACAAGCACTGTAATAAAACAATATTCGCTTTTTACGGTAGAAATTCTGGACTCCTTTCCTTTCATTGCACCTTCGCAGCCTCCACCTGCCTCCACCACCCAGAGAGAAAAGGGATGGCTTGTTCCCTCCTGCCGGGTTTGCCTTAAGGAGACCCTGAGCTGAGTCGGCTTCACAAGACCAGGACTAACCACTGGGGGACCTCAGGTTCTCCCAACACTCCCGGGTGAAGCCCCCTTGCCTAGAGAGGCATCCCGGATGCTTCCACAGGGTGGCCAGCCAAGGGAAGACCACTTTGGGTGACCTTCCTCATGGTTAGGCCAGGCCACAAGTCTCTGTGGAGATGCTCAGTCCTCCAGCTCAGCGTTGTCCCAAAGGTCCCACACACACACACACACAAGGCAACAGGACCTTCTTGGCTTTTCCTTTGAAAATGTTTCCCTTCTCATCCAAGAAGGCCCCGTTGCCCCCTGGGTCAGCCAGCAACAAGCCACATTCTGAGCCTTTGGAGGTGGCGACGCATTTAGCAGCCGGTTTCAGGCACGTGCCGTTCTGTGACCCCGAGTACAGTTGCTCTTCCAAAGTCCGGCTGCGTGAAAACTAATGGAGGCCTCCTCGAAATCAGCGCAAGGCGGTTAAAACGATCCACTCAGTTTCTCTTCTGCGTAGAAGAGTCTTCATTTCACATTTATCAGCCATTCAGTCCCCTGAAGACCTTTCCGGACTGTTCCTGCCACACCTGCCGCTCTCAGTTCCTCCTAACTATCAAGGCACCCCAGGAAATCCTTTTTGGGCCCTCGTTAGAGAAGCTGCTGTTGAGGATTCCCCAAAACACGACACGTATGGAAGGAAGCAGCCCTAACGCGAAGCACAGAGAGCTGCAATCAACTCCCCAGTTATGGTTTGGCTCTGCGGCTGTCGCCTTGGGCCCCAGATGTCAGCAGGGAAAGTGCCCGGATCAAAAAACCAGGGCCCACATGGGGTTGCAGGGGGAGGGCCAGGGGGGGGCTGCTGGGGGGTTTCTGCCAAGAGACAAGGTCAGCCCAGAGGGACTTTTCACAGCAGGGCTGAAAAAATCAGGCCGGCCAAGTCAATGATTCACAGGAGGCTGTTGACACAACTCAAGGGGCAGCCACCTCCTCTGAGGCCCACCCCAACGGCTGAAGCGCCAGCAGGAAGCCAGCAGCCACCATCAGAGTTCAAACCGTGCTCGTGTGTCCATACGCACACACAGCACACAGCCTGTGCAGGCCCAACCCTGCACAGTTGCAAGGAGACGCAGCCTCACCCTCCTGCCAAGCTCCACCTTGCTTTGCCAAAGGAGGAAAAGGCCAGGTGGAAACTACCTGGGCCTCGCAGGTGTCCCGTTCCTGGCTCCAAGGACAGCAGGAAAGCTGCTTCCCGGCCGCTCGGCCTTAACTGGAAATACCAGCTCAGCTTTCCTGGGGTGTCTCACCACAGAGCTGACTTCGGGAGAAGCCTGTGGCTTCCTCTTCCTCCCTCAGGCTGCCACCAAGGGCCACGGCCTGGGGCCTTCCTCTGCCCCAGACAGGAACTCTGGGAACTCCTTAGCACAGCTATAGTTTTATTTATTTGCAATGGACATTTCTAAGTTGCCAACAAATCTGGGCATCTTACAAGGCTTAAAAGCAGGACCTATGTATCGAAGCCACTAATAAAAAGAGAGCAACTCTGGGGGTGGAAATTATTCTTGGAAATGCTTCCAAGCTTCCCCATTCATCAAATTCTAGATGGCCACATTATTTTAAAACTTTACCAGAAAAAAACAACAAAGGCAAAACAAATTAGTAAGCAGTGTAATCAACCCTCCTGAGTGAAGTGCTCGGCCTAATGGAGCTAAATGCGCTTTTTGAGGGCTGAAATTCATCCTTCCGGATGGAAACTCCTACTTCTAATGCTTCCCTGCGTGGTCCTCCGTCTTAAGAGAGGCGGAAGGTCCACACACCCATTTTACAGATTCCCCGAAGAGCTGCCACTTTCCCTTTCAGAAAGCAGGAAATGGAGAAGGACTCTGAATGCAGCCCGAATCTCCTCTCCTGCCTCCACCCAGCAGCAGCAGCAGCAGAAACAGCACCAGATGCCCTCTCGGCTGGAAGGGGGGAACCCCAGGCACCCCCTCCCTCAGCCCCCCACCCATCTCATGGGGTCTCACCTCTGCCCAACATCTGGCCCCTCTCCAAGTCCCGCCGGGGCACCCGGAACACGTAGGCCTCCGAGCTGAATCCTGGCCGGCAAGAGGCCCCCGGCCCCTCCTTGCTGAGCCCCCTTTCACCCTGGGGAGCCAAAGAGGAGAGTGAGGGGAGGCGGAGGGGGGGGCACGGCCCAAAAGCGCGGTTCCCACGTCCCCTTCATCCGGAGGAAGCCCCGGAGAAGGAACGGGGGCTCCGAAGACCCCTCTAGGCCACTGCTAAGCCCCGGGGGCCCCTCCCTGGGGCAAAGCCTTCCCAAGGGATCCCCGGGGGAGCCTCCCAGCAGAGGAAGCTTTGGGGCTGGAGAGCGGGAGGGAAGGGAGCAGGGCGGGGAAGGGGAGCCGAGACCCCTCAGCCGCTGCCTCGGAAGGGTCCCCAGCGCGGCTCCCCCGAAGGCTCGCCGAGAGGGGCCGCCCCGTCTTACCTGGAGCAGCAGCAGCAGCAGCCCGAGCGCCGCCTGGATCCCCATCGCAGCCAGAGGAGGTGCGCGCCGTCGCCGAGCCCGCAAACTTTGCCTCAGCCAGGCGGCCGCTCCGGTTGCGGCAGGTGAGGCTCCGCCCGCGCTGGAAGCCCCGCCCCGGGGGAAGGCTCTCGCGCCGCGGCTCGGCAGGTGCGGCCGGACGGGGCGGGGCCGGAGCAGCCCTCCCTCCCTGGGCCGTCAAAGGCTGCGCCACCTGCGGCCGCCACCCCGCCCGCGTCCCGGGGTTACGGCCGCCCAGGACCGCGGACAGGACGCCTCCGCTCGAGCTTCGGGGAGCCGTCGGGCGGCTTCCGCGGACAGCGCCGAGGGTCGCCTGGGAAGAGCTGCCTGCAAGTGTTCGCTGTCTCCCGGGGAAGGGAAGGGCGAGGGGGCGGCGGCGGGGCCGTCGGAGGAGCGTGGCTCCTTCCGCTGGGCTGCCCGCCAAGGACCGCGCCGTCGGAGCAGCCAGATGCACGCCAGGCGCTAAGCCGACTAAGGCCCCGCCAGTGAGGGACCCAGCCGAGCCCGGCGCCGTCCGCCCCTTCGGTCTGCAGTTGCGAGCGCTTCTTCTCCGGGAGGCGGCGGCGGCGCTCGCCCCGGCCAGCCCGATCCTTCCGCCGCCGCCTCGGCCATTCATTCGCGGGCAGGACGGCGGCGCCGCTGCGCCCCCCTTGCAAAGCGGGCCTCTCCCGCCTCGGGCAGGAAAAACCGGTCGGGCGAGCGCGGAGCTGGCGGCCAGCCAAGAGCCCGGAGCAAGCAAGCAGGAGGGGCGGGGCCGCTTCAAGCTCCCCGGCTCTTCTCTGCCTCCTGCCGGGGGAGACGGGGGCGGCTGGAGCCACTGCCCGTCTCCAGAGGGCCCGAGAATCGTTGCAGGAGAAAGGCCCCACCCGGGTGGGAGTGGGAAGGTGGGCTTCTGCCTTCTTTTCCTCCCCAGAACAGGACCCGACACGCGGAAGCTCCGCAGAGGCCCCCGTGCAGAAGAGCCGACAGCGGCTGGGGGGGAAGGGGAGAAGCTGGGAGGGCTGCAGCCTTCGGGTGGGAAGGAGGGAGGAGAATTGGGGGGGGGGGTTGGCGAGGGCCAGAGCGCAGGACCCAGAAGCCTCTGCCCCACCCAGGTGGTTGTGTGAAGGCGGGCAACGGGCACAGGGAAGCCTTCGGTCCCTCGAAAACATGACACGGTTTGCTGTGCCTTTTTTAAAAAAAAGCCTTTATTAAAACTTTACATCCTGATTGTCCAGCCCTTTAGTGATCATCGAGTTATTTCACACGTGCTATAAAAAGAGGAAAGAAATCTCAAGTCCTAACAGCTACAATACGTGAGTAGAGAAGGTCAGGAAGGTGGGGAGGGGGCACCATCCGGCAGCCTCCCCTCCCCCCCCCCCAGCCCAGCCCCATCTTGGGCAGCACCTTCAGCTCCTGGCAGCAGGGCAGCCCCAGACAGAGGCGCAGTTGGGGACTTCACAACCTGCAGCCAGGTCCCTCTCAGGACAGAGCCCCCCCCCAAGACACCTTTGCCCCCTGCCCAGGAAGCAGAGTCGCAGCTGCCCCCCTGCGAAGGCGGTCGAAGGTTCGTCTTCTGGAGCCCCCGAAGTCCGTGGCAGCCCCTTGTGCTTCCAACGGGGCGTGGTGGTCAGGGCAGCCGAGCAAAGCTGGTCAGCGCAGCTTCGGGGAGGGGTTGGGCTGCAGGGCGGAGCCCCCTAGTCGGCCACGCCTCCCCCATACAGGTCTGCCAGTTTCTGGAAGCGGCTGCCCCACTCGTGCAGGTAGTCGTAGTCCTGGTCCTGGTCGGAGGCCGAGGAGTTGAGGGAGCTGAGGGAGCCCCCCTCGGAGCCCCCGCCCTCATAGTCGAAGACCAGCAGGGAGTCGTAGGGGGGCGCTGTGGGGTCCAGGTCGGCAGCCTTCAGGTTCTGGGTGGGAAAGGAGGAGGCCTGAGGGGCGCCTGTCTGTGGGCCATCCAGAACTTCAGAGGCTCCCTCATCCAGGCAGGGCGGCCGGAGGCGAAGGCAGCCCCAAGGCCTGCTCCAAAGTTGGTGCTATAGGGGGGTGGGCCCACCTGGAAACCCAGGAGCTCCAATATCAGCCTTAAAGGGGGGTTCAGCTGATTCTAGTCCTTATCTCCATAGGTTTACCAAATGTATAGCCCCCCCTCCCCCCGTGGGCCTGGGCGTGGGGTGGCTCTGCTGCTTACAGGGGGCAGAAGACCCTGGCGGGCAACCCTCTCAGAGAGCACAGCCCCAGGGCAGCAGAGCCGGAGGGGCCAGGACCTGGCCTGCCCCCCAGCCTCCCTTACCTCACAGATGAAGTTGCCGATCTCATCAGGGTTTGCAGGGCGGGGGCGATACTGGGGGGCCGGCAAAGGGGCCGGCACCACGTCATTCCGCAGGAGGACCTCTGGGCGGGGGTCCAGGCCCCTGTGCAGCTGGCTGAGGTCATAGTCCTTTGGGGCAGGGAAGGAGGAGCGGTTGGCCAAGGGAGGGGGCTGCGCCCGAAGCCTCCCCAGCTCCTTGCCCCAAAGCCGCCTGACCCTGGGCAGAGCTCGGCCCTTCCCCGCCCCTCCCCACCTGGTCCTCCTCGCCCCCTCCTTCCTCGCCATAGTAGAAGATGTTGTCCCGGGTGTCATCCTCCGGCAGCAGCAGCGGCTCCTTAGCCACCTTCCTCCTCCTCGCGAAGAGCAGCAGCAGCAGCAGCAGGACTGGAACACAGAACCCGGCCAGGATCAGTGGGCGCTTCCGCTGAAGTTGCAGCCAAGGGAGGGAGCGGAGCTCAAGGGGAAGGGGGGTCCATTGCTACAGTCCCAAGACCCAACCGCTGGGCGTCACCCGGCCTCCCTGGAAACACCACCCAGCTGCGGTCGCTCTCACAAGGGTGCCCAGGTTGATGTGTGGCTCTAGCAGCTGGGAGGGGAAACCCACCCCCGGATCCCCCTCCCCGCAAGGGGGGCCCTTTGCATACTCACTCAGGAGGGCCAAGACGGCCCCCAAGACGGCAAGGATGATGGGCGCCCCGACGATGGGCATCGGCCCCTCCAGACACTCGTCCACCTCCCCCTCGCACTCGCAGACGGTGGCCCTGAGGACGGTCAGGTGCGACTTGCCCTGCTGGTCCAGGAGCCGCAGGTAGACGTCGTAGGTCTCTCGCTTCAAGGGCTTCAGCAGCTTCAGGATGGCCGTCTCCCCTGAAGGAGCCGGGAAACGGTCAGGCCCAAGGCCAACCCTTGGGAGAAAGGGCCGGGCCGCTTCCCCTCCCTCCTACGGGAGCCAAGACACCTGGCGGACTGCGGGAGATGCCCCGGGCATGGAGGGCAGAGGACAGCAGGGCTGGAGGGCGCCAAGGCCAAGCTTCCTGGAAGTCCCGCCAGCGCCCATTTCCCAGGAGGCCGAGGCAGCAGCCCACCTTCGCTGTCCATCTCGACCGACCAGTTCTCCTCCGAGTTGTGGACCAGCTCCGCCTGGAAGGGGGAGGTGTGGGGCGGGAGGTCCTTGTCCGAGATGCGCAGCAGTTGTGGGCTTGGATTGTGGTTACACACGGTGAACTTCCGCCGGTCGGGCTCTGGGCCGTGGTCGTTCACGTCCAGGAGGGTCAGCAGCAGCGTCCCCGTCCCTGTGGCTGGGGGGCTTCCTGGGGGCAGAGTACGGGGGAGCCATGTTTAAAACCGAACAGCCTCAAAAGGCCGATTATGCAGAGGCCCAATGGCTGCTTTGAAAAGCTTCAGGCTGTTTCTCTTCCCAGGCCCCACTTCTGCACCTCTACAGCCCCCAGATCTCCCGCCACATCTTGCCCCATTCCTCCCCCAAGGCTCCCACAGGCCCCCAGCCTAGTGTGGCTCCAGAGGCTGCTTTGTCTGCCCAGCAAGTCCCCCGCCCGGGCCATGGCAAACAGCAGAAAGGATGGGGTACAGTCGGGCACCTCAGTCTGAAGCAGTAGAGGGTGGATCTTGGGGGGGCAAGGCCCCCTGTAGGAAGTCGAAGTAGGAACCATGCTCCCCCCCGGTGGGCGTGGCCTCCTCTCTGTGCAGCTCTTGAGGAGCAGGGGGGAACCCCGCCCTCCCCTCCAGGAGGCTGGGTCTCATGACTGGGCAGCCTCTGCAGCCGGCCACCATGTGCCCCTCACATGGGCCGCTCTCAAGCAGCTCAACAAAGCAGCCCTTGATTCCCAGACAGGAGCAGCAGCCGCCTCCCCCTCCCTCTTCCACCCGCCAGGGCTTACCATCGTCCACCGCCAGCACAATAGCCACGTAGGTGTCGTTCTGGACCAAGGGAGACTCCCGGTCCAGGGGCGCCTTGGCAGTGATGATGCCGGTTTCCGGGTGGACATCCAGCCACTGGGCAGGGTCGCTCTCCAGCAAGTACCTGAAGGGGGAGGGATGGAAAAATGACCTCTCAGCCATCCTCCTGAGGCCAAGTGGGGGGGGGGGAGACCCTCCCTGGCAGTTCAGTGAAGCAGCTGACCTGATTTTCTGGGACTGCGCAGTGTCTGGGTCTTGTGCCGCGTAGGTGGCAATTTTCTGTCCCACCGGGATGTCCTCCGAGACCTTCACCTTCAAGGCCGGGGGTGCAAAGACGGGGGCCTCGTTGGCATCCGTCACGCTGATGGTCACGGTGGCTGTCGAGGTGGGCAGCTTCACGGCAAAGGGCACCTCGTTGGCCACTGCCACCTGCAGAACGAACTGCTGTCCCGTCTCAAAGTCCAGCGCCTAAACAGGAGACGGAAAACCCTCGTCAGAAGAGGCAGCTGTCCAGCCGAGGGAGGGAAGAAGCCGCCTCCGGTCACCTCGGAAATGGCTAAAGCAGTCTCTTGGCCACTTCGGCCACTTCGTGTTGTGTGGACTTCAACTCCCAGAATTCCCTCACCAGCGCCTCTTTGCATGCGCGCACAAACACACACACACAAGCTCGTGCATGGGAGGAGCTGGTGTTTCTGCCTACTTTTGCTGTTGTCAGGATTCCTTCGTTGGTCTTTGGATCCGTCGAGATGGAAAACAACTCTCCGCCGTTGCCCTGAACGATGCTGTACACGGCGTGCCAGGCGGGAGAGTGGCGCTCGTCCCTGTCGGTCACAGCCAGCCTCACCACCTCCACACCCTCCATGTTCTCCGCCACCTCTGCCGAATACTGAAGGGGAGGCAAGCAACCACTTGAGAGCCTGAAGGACAACGAGCTCCCCTCCCAATCCTTTGGCAGCTCAGGGGGCTTGAGGAGAGGCACTACTGCCCCTCCAGCCATGGGAGCCCTCAGCCCTCCTGGCCACCTAAGAGGGAGAGC